CCCCATGTCGGGTCTCGGGGTTCCACCCCCCCCCATGTCGGGTCTCGGGGTCTCCCCCCCCGCCATGCCGGGTCTCGGGGTCTCCCCCCACCCCATGTCGGGTCCGGGAGGCTGGCACCCCCCCATCGGGGGGCAGAGCCGGGACACCCTTCTCCCTGCCCCTCTGCAGGAGCAAGGGGTGCAACTCTCTCCCTCCCCGCTCCTCCTCCCCACGGGACAGGGGCCGGAGGAACAGGGAATAGGGTTACAGCCTCGGGGGACAGGGTCATAGGGTGGGGCTAGGCAGGGCTGGGGGGGATTATGGGTAGGAGAAAGGGGATACACATGGGGATTCACCATGTGGCCGGGTAACACGTGGCCGGCGCCATCTTGGCTCTCAGCCATGTGGGGATAGAAAGATACATTTTCTGTAACACTGACAGGGTATAGGGAGGGAGCCTTGATGGCTTGTGAGGCAGGACTGGGTGACTGAGAGAGACACACCAGACTAGAACTTGTATTGTTTGTCTCGGGTATCTTTTCTATTGGGGGAACAGAGGTTTTGGGTGAAAAGTTAGGAAAATTAGGTGGATACTGTGGTGCTTGTTTGTCTTCTGTTTTTATTTCTCTGTTAACTAATTCTTTTCGAATTAAAAGAAAAACTGGGAGGAATTTCAGGGCTGATTTGTCTCCTCCTTCTATTTTTAAGGTTAATAAATTTCCAATTTCATCCCAGGCAGTTACTGAATCTAATTTTAACAATTCGATCTGTTTACTTTGCTGAGTCAAATATGATACAAACTGTTTTATCTTATGTTTTGAAATTTTTACATTTGTGGTTTTTAAAAAATTCTGTATTTGTTGTGTATGACTCCTTTCTTGTGTGCATAGCCGGGATCCCATTTTTGGAGGTCACAGCAGCTCTGCACACAATCTGTCTATTTTCCCTACCACAGAAAACAAGGTTGTACCAAAAGGATTACAATTAAACTCACACTGTACAAGCAGCAGGGAGAATTCTCTCTCCCACCCCCTCTCCGTCTCTGCCCACGGCTGGGGGAACCCCACACGCTCGGGTCTGCTGCCGCTGGGAAGGAGTTACATGGAACACAGTCCCCCGGGGTCTGTTTCACTCTCCACCCCTCCCAGCCCGGTGTCCGAGTTCAATCTTACCTTTTTCTGTCGTTTTCTGGAGGTGGAAAGATACTTGTTGCCCTGGAATCGGTCCTCTGGTGCTGGAGGATTTTCGACTCCTTTTTGGAAACTTTTTTTGCTGTGTTTTTTTTAACTGCATCCAAAGTCTCCAAAGAACGGCTCACCCTGGCTCCGATAAGCCTTTAACGTGGGCTTGTTCAGCCCCACGTTGGGCGCCACTCTGTCGCTATCCAGCTCCCTGCTGGGACCCCTCTGTCCCACCCCCCGTGGAGCCTGCTCGTCTCTGGGCACAGGCGGCGGAGGGGGTCCTGGAGTGGATACAACACGGACTCAAAGTATCTAGACACAGGAGGCTCAAACTTGCTGGAATAATCCCGGGTTTATTGTCTGTCGTCCATCCGGGGCAAGAGAGAGAGCGAAATGCTCTGGATCTTATCTCTTATACCAGGGGGCAGGGGTGATTAGGGGATGCAGGGAGGTCACAGCCAATGAGAAGGGGGGGGAGGGAAAGAAGGTTTTCAGGTAGGAACTAACATTACACAAACCAGAGGTGAGTTTTACCCTTGGGAGGTACCAAGATTTCTAGATGCACTACAACATGATTATATCTTATTATTTAATGAGATTTATGTGCAATAGTAAAGACAAGAGTAAGTATTAAGACTCAGTAAGTTTTATATATTTTTCTTACATTCAACAATTTAACCTAAGGAAATAAGTTCATAACACCCTGAAAGGTATTGTCAATATTCTTAAAAAATGAAATCCAGTCACTACAAAAGCACTGGTTTCCAAAATAAAATAAAATATGATTTGTTTTGGTTGCTTCCATTACTCAGGTGTCTAAAATGTCTGAATAACAAGAAGCCTGGTTGTTTGGGTTTTTTTACCTGACATCTAAGCGCTCATTTTTGAAATTAAGGCTGTATTTCTCTATTCCTTAGTTGATTTGCCTTTAAAAATCACATAGGTAATCTCAGGCTGAGTGAGCATTTCTTGGTAAGACACTCTGGCTGTTTAGACATGTTATTGGT